CAGAAATATGCCAGCCATAGAGCGTGGTAGAGCAAGTGATTCTTCAAAATCCTATTTACTTGTTTAGTCTTAATGACATATCTGGAGAAATTCAATTTTTAATCTGTAGAAACATAAGTATTTTAAATAAATTACTAGGTTTATTTTGAATAACAAATTGAGCACTCTTGTTAGACCAAGTGGAATTTTATCTAAACCTGAATTGTAAATGCAGCTGGTGTACAGCAGGATGAGTTTCTAGGCACCTTTTCACCTTCCGACACTGCCAGTCCCTCCAAGGGATGTGACCTTCCGGAGGGCACCGTGCGACTGTCTCGACGTCCTCTGGAAGGAGTTTCGTCTCTGTCTTCCTGTGATATGGTTTTCTCTGAGTCGGTTCTTTCTATCTTGAAACTTCCTGGCTGAAAGTAAACGTGAGGGTATTTTTGCATTAATAACAATCATATTATTCAAAAACATCACTCAATATGTCACGCTAGCTGTCACAGAACCTAAACTGTTATATCCCTATTTTTGTGCCCACAAAAGGGCATTAAAAGGGCATCTACTCTTGTTATACCCCATTTCCCAGTGTACAGCCCATGCTCTCCTGCAACTCAGGAACACTGTGATAGAAAAGGTTTGGCACCACAGTAAAATGGAATTATAAAATTTATAATAGAAATTGTTTTCTACCCTTTGTGCTACTCAAAAATTGATGGTTTTGAGGTGTGGATAAGCCACTCATTCAGTGATTCATTCATNCCAGCCCTGGTAAAGCACTCTGTACTCCTTTACACACGATGAAGGCCCACGTTTTAGCACAAGCCACAAAACAGGACAGAGAGTCCTGGTGACCTGCTCACCGTTCTCGGTGGCCTCTGGCTTGTCCTCCTGGAGCACGGCGACATCAGAAGCCAGTGCGAGGAATGGTCTGCCACTCGGTTCTTGCAGAGTTCGGGAAGGCTGGAGTATAACCTGGGTGCAATGACAGTCAGAAAACCCACCAAGTCACGTCAGTCGGCAGCAGGCGGGAGAGCAAAGCTGTTTTCAGCTCTCGGTGTGTTCCAGCCAGATGCCAGGACGCAGCCACGACTGCCACGCTCGGCGCTGTGAGGTGAGGCATCTTATTAAAAATGCAGAAATATGCCAGCCATAGAGCGTGGTAGAGCAAGTGATTCTTCAAAATCCTATTTACTT